TTCATTGTTTATGTACAAGAATGCTATTGATATTGGAGTGCTGTATCCAGCTATGGTACCGAACTTGGTTATTAAATGTAGAAGTCTTTCTTGGTAGAGTTTTTGGGGTCTCCTAAGTAGAGTGTCATGTTATTCATTAATAATGAGAATTTAACTTTTTCTTATCCTATCCTTATTCCTTTTATTTCTTTCTCTTATCTGATTGCTCTGGCTAATGCATCCAGAACTATATTGAATAAAATGGTGAGGGTGACATCCCCGTGTTGTTCTTGATTTTAGAGTGAAAGATTTCAGTTTCTAAGTTGTTTACTTGTGCTTGCTCTGTCTTCCTGACATGGGTATTCACTGCTATAAATTTCCCTCTTAGGATTGCTTTCATTGTGTCCCATAAGTTCTAGTATGTCGTACTGTTGTTATCATTTAATTGATAGAAGCTGTCTAATTTTTCCTTTAATTTCACCTGTAACCCACTGATTTTTTTTTATTTTAAAAATAAAAGGAGGAAAACATTAACAGACAGACAACATTTTACAACATATCAAGAGAACAGTACAGACAATACGGAGTTACAAACAAAGTGGTAGGGAATTAACGATGGTTGTTGTATTACATATTGATCAAAGTGGCTTCTCATGAAAACAGATATAGAAATGCAATACTGATCAACCAAAGACTCATTGACAGTTTCTTTCAGCATAGAAATAGAAGACAGAAGAACAACCATGTTAACTATCCTATATATACATACATACAACCGCTGATTGTTTAAGAGGGTGTTATTTAATGTCCATGTGTTTATGAAGTTCTTGTGGTTTCTATTGCCATTGATTTCCAGTTTCATTGCACTGTGGTTTGGTAGCATTCATGGGATAATTTTAATTCCTTTGCATTTACTTAAGCAGATGAGCTAGCATGTGGTCTATTTTGGAGAACATCCCATGTGCAGCTGAGAAGAGTGTGTATTCTGATGGTGTATGTGGAACACTCTGTAGACATCTACTAAGTTCATTTGTTCAAAAGTTTGGTTCAGTTCTAATATTTCATTGTTGATTATTTTAAATCTCTTTTTAGAATGTCCTTCAGAACATTTTGGAGTGCTGGTCTGGTAGCTATGAATTTCTTCAGGTGTTCTTTGTTGTGGAAGTATCTTATTTCTTTTTTTAAATTTTTTATTTTAAAGAAAATAGTATAAAAAAAGAACCATAGCAAAATACAAACAAAACAAAGCAAGGACATTAAAAATGATACAGAGTTTCAAACCAAATGATAAGGATTGACAGTGGTTGTTATATTACATAGTGCTAGCTTCAATGAAGTTGCCCAGATTACCAGATGTAAGAATAGAAGATTGATCAAATCATTAAAGGGAATAAGAAAATAATAATTTAGAAGAACATTAGAGACAATGCATAGTTTCAGTAGATAGGATTGTAGGAATTCACCAATTGTTGTTATATTGCAAATGGTTGTTGTCACATAAATTGCTCAGATTACCAAATATAAGCATGCAAAATTGGTCAAAATATATATAAAAAAAAGAAAAAAACTTTTAATAATTAACTGTTCCCCTCAACAAACCATCAGACACCAGCAGGAAATATCTTATTTCTCAATCAATTTTGAAAGATAATTTTGCGGGGTACCTCAAACTGGGTTGGAGATTGTTTCCTTTGAGAGCTTGAAATTCCTCACTCCAAGCTCTCCTTTAGTTGAGGGCTTTTGTTGAGAAGTCAGCTGTGATTTTGATGGGATTTTCTTTACAGCTGATTTGTTTCTTTTCTCTAACAGTGTTTGCTATTGTTCTTATGTTGAGTTTCTGGAATCTTGACCATTGTTGAAGATATTTTTGAGTATGGCTAATTGCAGTACTGTATGTATCACTTATCTGTACCTCAAAATTTTTGTCCCTATTTGGGAAGTCTTTTTCCATGACTTCTGTGAAGAGGATTTTTTAATGTTTGTGCTGTCTCCTGCTTTTTCATTGACTCCGATCAATCTTATGTTAATCTTCTTTGTGTCATGTAGCAGCGGTTGGATTGACTTTTCATGGTCCTTTGCTATTTTTAAGAAATCTTTCTTTTAATGATCACTAGCCACAATTTTGTCTTCTATATCTGATATTCTGTCCTCAGTTGGCTCATTCTGCTGCAAATACTTTCAGTGGAATTTTTAATCTTCTGGATATCTGCATAATCTGTTTTATGGATTCCATTTCTTTTCTATCTTGGTTGTTTATGGTTTCCATCATTTTCCTGAGCTCCTCTATTTTTAAAATCAGTATCCGCTCTAGAGTCCCTAAGTGTGTCTTTTATTATAGTCACCATCTGTGTAGTTAACTGAAAACTTATGTCTGATTTGATTTTTTTTTCTAGAGCTCATTCACTGCTTTGTTATTTCTGCTGTTACCCCTTCAGAGGCCAGGTGGGTGGCTTTCGGATTTTTCTACCTCATTGCCCGCTGGCTTTGCCTTTCGTGAGCTGGAAGTCTGGGGTTGCATCTTGTTTAAGTGTTCTTCACTTTTTTTTTTTAGTTTAATTTCTGGGTTGATGTTTGTAAACTGCTTTTGCCATGTAGCTTTATTGTTAGTATTTAGAACCCTAAGAAATGACCACTTCTCAGAGATGTCTTACATGCTGTTTAGGTTTTGAGTCTGTCACAATATCCTGCCCCTTCAGCTTACTGGGATGAGAAGTTGCTACCCACTTGGCCCAGCCCCTGTTTCTCTGGCACTGGCCTAAAGTATTGCTTATGACCCTTAAGCAATCTCAGACTTGGTATACTGGGGAGAACAACTGTTTAGGGCAATCACGTCACCTTGGTTAGAGCAGCATAATCAGCAATAATAATAGCATCAAACACAGCCTAGGAAATGACAAACTGTGGTAACTATTAACATGGTACCTTTTATCATTATGAACTAGATTTGTGGTTATATAGCAAAATATAAAGTAAACTAGGAAATTTTATACTGTAAATAAGCCCTCAATATGGTGATTTTACTCTCAGGAGAAAATTTTATACTGTAAATAAGCCTTCAATATGGTGATTTTACTCTCAGGAGAAAACTCTTTTTATGTTGTTTATGCACAAACAACATAAAAAAATCCTGTTCACAGAAGTCATGGAAAATGAGACATACGGTACTCCAAAAAGGGGCTAGGGGGAAAACAGAAAAGTAGAAGAAGAGGAAGAGATTAGAAGCAAGGCTGGAGAAGGCTTGGTGTGGTGGTGCATGCCTGTAATCCCAGCACTTGGGAGGCTGAGGCAAGAGGAATGCTGAGTTTGAGGCTGGTCTGAACTACATACATGACACTGTCTCAAAAAAAGGAAAAAAGAAAGAAAGAAAGAAGAAACAAGCCTGGCTGGAAGACAAAGGAAGATTATACAAAATTTGGGAAACTGGTAAAGAAGACAGGAGGGAAAGTGAGAAGGAAGAAATAACAAGAATAGGACAAAAAAATGACAAAAAAAAAATGGAAACCACGTTCACACTCATGTAAAAAACAAAAAGAAGCAATCAAGAAAAAAAAAGCATGAAAAGAAAGAAAAACAGAAAAAAAAAAAGAAGAAAATAGTTTTTACTAATGCCCAGTCAAAGCATGCCTCTGCGGTCACTGATAGACAACATGGGCATATGGAGTCCTGATCCAATGTGATGAATCCCAGCCAGTGCTGTAGCTTTAAGGTGGGGTGATGGACCACCCCAGGAATCCTGCCCTTTGGTTCCACGGAAGTTCAGGCTGGTTTCAGACTGAGGCTGGAACCTGATCTGTTCCACCTGTAGCACTCCCTCCACGTGCCTCCTGCCTTCCTGCGGCCTTAAACTCAGCTCCCTGACCTCCTGACAGGTTGAACTCGGCAGCCTCACCCCGACCCTGGGAGCCACTAGAGGGAGCCGTCCTGCAGCTATTGTGAGTTTTGAGCTCACTTGGCCTCTCTGTCTGTTTTTTTGTTTTTGTTTTTCTTCTGGTACCTGGAATCAAACTCACGACCTTGTGCTTGCCAGGCAGGTGCTTTTGCCACTGAGCTAAATCCCCAGCCCCTCACTTGGCCTCTCGAAGGTGGCTACCAGCCAGTTGCCCTCTCCTGGGCAGTGTCTGAACCCAGATAACCCACTAGCCATTGTAGTCTGCTGCATACACTGCTGCACTCCACCGGGCCGTTTCTCCACGGAGGCCTCTGAAGTCGCCATCAGTCACCGCGCATCTACAGGTTCGAGCTTCCAGCCCATGCAGTGAATCAGGGCTCAGGCAGAAAGCACCGCATACCATCTTCTTTTACTTCACTGAGATCTTTCTCTTCACTCTCCCTGTGGGCTTCTGTTCTCACTTCAGATCCCTCCTGGGTCCCGGGGACCCGCTTCCCCGCTCCTTCTCTTCCTCACGTTGTTATATTCCAGCGTCTGGACACCAAATCTCAGAGAGGCTCTTTCTCTGCTGTTCACCACTCCACCGTCATCCCGGAAGTTATACTGTCACTTTGTTTTCACCACTCTAGTGAGTTTTTAGTGGTCTTGTTGGGGTTTAACTTGTGTGTTCTTGTTAACTAATGCTGTGATAATCCTTTCTGTAAGTATTAGACAATTATATATATATTTATTTTAAAGAAGTTTGTCTTTATATTTTATGTTTTTTGAATATACAAGATATAGTTTTTGAGTATACAAGAATATACTCGAGTTACAACAGCCCTTCTTATATTCTGGGTATAAACCTCCTAGGAGATAGTAAAGTGTCTGTCTTATAACCACTCCTCTTCACTGGAACAGTGGGGTGGAGACAGGTGGTAGAATGGAAATAGGCCATTGTAGTCCTTAGGGCAAGAGGTGAATGTGTCTTAGGCTAGGACAGGGGAGTGAACGGCACAAAGCAGTCGGAACTTTAAAATTATCTTTAAAAACTTCAAGGGACTCTGGGTCTCCATACTCTTTTGTTTTTTGAATATGCTTGAACATTGTGACAAAGCCAACCTGAACCCTACTATGCTTGAATGAACTGCAGGAGAATGTCTCCGGAACCTAGGACGTGCTCCCTGTTCCTGGCCCTTTTTCTGAGCCATGCAGTGTCAGGTCAGAAAGCTTCGAATTCCAGGCAAGGTAAGTCCGGAGGGAGGAATCCCTTCCATGATTTCCACGCATCTGCGGGAGTGTAGTGGGATGGATCAGTTTAGGCCCTCAGGAATTCTGAGGTGTGTGCAGGTGTGCACATGTGTGTGGGATGATGGTGAGAGTGCATAGATGTGTAGGATTTTCAGGGTTGTTCTAAAAGTGTTTTTCAAACCAGGGTTTTCTCACATTGGGCACAGGTAAAATTAAAATTCACTAAACGTTTCCTCTAGGAGTAGCTTTTTTGGGGGAGGCTCTTCTCCTGCTGCATATTTGCATTTTTGAAGGCCACACAGTTCAATTCCAGTTACATATTCCATGGCTTTCTTACAGATTTGGATCCATTGTTGCAAAAGATGGCCGTGAGTGTTGCATTTCCCTCTAATCAAAATTCCCTCCCCTGGAACTGCTAACTTTTGAACGTTATACTTGGTGTTATCTCTCTGCCTTTTAGGAAGAAATAATAGAGGGAAGCTATCTGAATGGTAATGTACCCGTTCTGTCCCCACTTGCATCTTTTATGAATTTCAAGTAGTGTGCAGCTGTGATCTCTCTAGAATGACTGCTTTAAAGTTGTCTTTCATTTTATTCCCATTGTAGCATTTCTGGATCTCATACAGTTTCAAAGGTAACTTGCCCCAGAGGGGACAGAAAGGGATCGGGTAGATTTTGACTAATAATTCTAAAAGGAAGTATGTTAGCTGTAGGGAGTAATACATGCTCATAACAAAAAATGTGAACCAGTGCACAAGTGTTGTAGGACTGACACACTTGTGTAGGAAGTATTTATTCCTCCTCTGCTGTGGTGTAAGAATCAAAGTTTATGGACTGCTTGCACATTAGCCGGTGCTATTCCAAGTGCTTGGTGCACAGAAACACATGCAGTTCACACAAGTGGCCTGCAAGGTAGGACTGGTTGTCATCCCATTGAGCAGAAGAATGGAGCTTGGGTCCAGGGAGAAATGGAGGCCACACAGCTGGCCGGTGGTGAAGCTGGGACGGGACGCCATCCAGAAGCCGGCTCCAGGCTTGTCTTTTCCTTTCACTGTTCTGCCCTATGCTGCCCACAGGTCTGTGCTAGGTCCTGGGGATGTGAATCCCGGATCAGGCAGTGTTGTAGGAAGGCTGATATCAACAAATATTCTAATAGGATTAACACAATGAAGGAGAAGACATGGGGCCTGGGAATCCCATGACAGGGACACCAGGTTATGTTCAAGTGGAAGAGCTCTGTGAATGCTCCTCTTCTTAACATAACTCCTGTTGGTAGTTTTGGATGTGTTTTCTCAGGCTAAATTATTTATTTATCCGTCAGCCATGCATCTATTTATAATAACTATGGGATTATAAAAGGCTACTTGTAGGTCTAGGGCTGTAGCTCAGTGATAGGGTGGCATGGACGAGGCTTTGGATTCAAGCCCCAGCACAAAACAACGACAGCAGCAACAACAACAAAGGTCATTTATGAGCATTCATTATTCATCAGGCACTGTTTTTAAGCACTTTTGAGTCATCTCAATTGTTTGCTGTACTTCATAAAAGAGAAACTAATGCACAGGAGCACTCTTCAAATTGGCTGTGTCCACACTTAGAGTCAGGATTCAAATCCAAGTTTGGAGTCCATTCTCAACTACGCAGCCTACTGGGGTATCTCAGCTTCTGCTTTTCACACTTACTGTAGGGAGGGCTCTATTTTACAGTTACTGTAGGGAGG